CCCGGACCGGGGCACGAACCCGCGTCCCCTGAATCGGCAGGCGGACTCTCAACCACTGCGCCACCAGGGAAGCCCTTATGAGGCTTTTGTAAAGCAAAAGGTCATTGTACTAACTTGGATTTCTGCTTTTCTGCTGCCTTGAAGTCCTCAACAGCACCTACAAGATGCAATCGAAGTGTTCAGCACATCTTGCAAATACGTGGCCCAAATCAGCCTCTTCTCTGCCCCTCTGGTGGAATCCATCAGCCTTCCAGAAACCTGCTCGGATTCCACTCCCCCGTGAGGTCTCCTTCTGAGCTTGCCCATGCTCTGCTCACACCTGTCCTAGCACTCACTCAGCAACTCACCTGCCCTCCCCTCCCCAACAAGCGTCCTGCCCAGCATCGTTCCAATAGAATGAGGCCGAGTTCAGTTCAGAAGCAAAGGAAAGCTTTATTCTTTGATCAAAGTATGGGTAGGTGGGAGCTCATGCTCCAGAGCACGCGCTCTCCCAAAATGCCCGATTGGGGCTGCTTTAGCGGGGAGGGGGCGGGGTTCTCGCCAGCAGCGCAGGCGCAGCTGCTGCTCACGGCCCCCACCCCCCATCGCAGTGCCAGGTGCTGCGTCTCTGCAGGCGACCGCCCGCCATCTTGAACTGAGTGCGCAGCGACGGACCTTCTGTGTAGCGCCCTGAGCTGAGCTGTCGGCGCTGCCGTCTTGCACCAGGAACCCTGGTCTGAAGGGCCGGGCACAAGGCCCCTGCACGCGGTACCCTGGGAGCCAACCGACTAGACTGAGCGCAGAGGAAACAAGGTTAGACTTTATCATCCAGGTTCTATTTTTATTTCCCAGGAATTGTTAATGGACTTTCCTGCTGACACTTTCTCAGAAAGAGGCATGCCTTATTTGTATAGTAATTCATAATGGAATTATCTGTATGAGAGGTGCCCATAGATGAAGCAAGGATTGTCTCTGTATCACCAGGGTGTGAAAATGGCTAGAATTTTATTTTAAAAAAGAACAGGGCTTCCCTGGTGGCGCGGTGGTTGAGAGTCCGCCTGCCGATGCAGGGGACACGGGTTCGTGCCCCAGTCCGGGAGGATCCCACGTGCCGCAGAGCGGCTGGGCCCGTGAGCCATGGCCGCTGAGCCTGCGCGTCCGGAGCCTGTGCTCCGCAACGGGAGAGGCCACAACAGTGAGAGGCCCGCGTACCGAAAAAAAAAAGTGATGGGAAATGGATCTTTTTACCTAGGACTTGTCCCAGCAGGGTCTTTGTCCTCTCATGCGATTCAAACGAGACTCCTGTTTGATGGGTCTGGGAGACCACAGTCGTCTTCATGACGGGACCCCAGGACTGGGGCATCCACATAACGGGATGGTTGGCCTGGAATACTCAACCTGGACCTCATCTCAGAAGGTCCTGTGCGGGGATTTCTTCTAAAAGAAACAAGTAATTCACCAGCAAGTGTTTAGTGAAAGTCCACCAAGGGACTGGGAAAACCACCCCATTCTTTCTTTAAAATCTAGCCAATAACATCCATAAGACTGATCATGTTTTTTGATCCAGCAAATCCTCTTTTGGACAATAACATGGAAGCACACACAGAAAAGTGAGC